AAAAAAAAAAAAAGAAAAAGTCAAACTTAGGAGTTTTACGGTCTTCTTAGTAAAGGAGAATATGGGCTTTAAGAGTTGATAGATGAGGTACCATGATAGGACGTATTTGGATGAAGCCGATGGAAGATAAGGATTTTATTAGTATGGTTTGCCCTTACCTTGGGCCAACTCTCCATCCATAGAGAGCCTTCTTCCTAGGGAGGACACCTCACAATGTACTGTTCTTCAATAAAAATAAAAGCAGAGAGCAGAGAACTCTTCCCGCATCTGTTGACTCTCAGGTGCTCTCAGTTCTGGATAAAGCTTCTACCAAACTGGCATATTTTAGGTGTGTTAGTCATATTTCTGTTACTGTTTAAAAAAATACCTACGATAACCAACTGATGAGGAGAAGAGGTTTATTATGACTATCAGTTTCAGAAGGTCCAGTAGTGGTCACTTGGCCCAGTTCCTTTGGGGGATGGTATGCTTGTAGGGAACTGCTGCTCACCTCATGGCAGGGAGATGAGAGAAAGAGGAAGAGACTGTATACCCACAATTCCCTTTGAGGTCACAGCCCCTTATAACGCCTCCTGCAGAGAGAGACAGGTGGCTCGCCAAAGCCCATTGGCCAGTCAACCGAACCAAACCTATCAGCTTCAGGTTCAATGACATCCCCTGTCTCAAAAATAACAGGTAGAGAGGAACTGAGGAAAGACACCTGCCATTACCCTCTGCACTCTACACGCACACAAATAGCTAGAGGAGCGAGAACAGAAAGAAGAAAACCCTGTACTATTTCCTCCACAGACAAGTGGAACAAGGTCCTGCCTTTCTTGTCAGCTGATGAGGCCCGATCAGCGGTTTCAGCCCAGGTTCCAGTTTTCAGGAGTCCAGTCTCGGAGGGTGACCTCATCTGGTCTGGCTCATATGCTGCCCGAGGTGAAGGTCGAGGTCGAGACTCTTCTGTGCCCGTGATGGAAAGAAGGACTGAGGCCTGGCATTTTTTCTGAGGTAGCTGAGGAGGTGGGTCCTGCCAGCCTGTAGGCTTCTCCCTCAGGAGATGGTGCGCTTGTAGAGAAAAACAAGCCAATGCCTTGTAAGTCCCACCCCTCCACTAATTATCTGGTATCTCCTGGAGTTTAATGTCCAGGGTATAAAAGTCTCCCCTTATGTTGACATGGCCCTGCTTTCTTATATTATCCCCCAGTGTGGGGAACCCAGAGAACCACCTGGCTCCGTTCAGCTTGTGTAGATTCACTCTGACTTCTGACTGCTGGAGACCCACAATTCTGCCAGGATTGAGTTGCTTTGCTTACAGATATTCCTTCTCCTTGTCTGCACTCTACAGTGGAAATGACGTCTTGCCTCCCTTTCAGCCACATCCAGCCATCATCACCCTTGCCTTTTGTTGCTCCTTGACTTCGACTTCTACCTTTGCTGTTGCGTTCCTTTCCAGCACATTCGAGGATGTTATAAGATGTCATGTACTTTTTCGTTACTCTCCAGAATGGCAGAAAGAAATTAGGAACATTCAAATGCAAAGAGCGAGATGAGAGGCAGAGACCCATGGCAGATAGAACATAGTTCCTTGCTCTGGACCCCAAGGTGAGCAGGATGCTTTTAGGAGAAATCTGTGCCTTGGAACTAGACTGCTTCCACGGGTAGCTCAGATGCTCATAGGTGAATGTGCACACAGTGATGGCAATTTTATGTAGTGCATTGCAACTCATAGAGGTCAAGGGGTTAAGAGACTGGGGACCCTGGGAAAGCTTCGTGGGCCTATAGGATGATGTCTTAGTGTCTTTTCCTGTTGCTGTGATAAAATGCCCTAATAAAAGCAACTTACGAGAAAAAGAGTTTATTTGGTTCACAATTCCAGGTTACCTTCCATCACTATGGAGGAGTCAAGACAGCAGGAACCGGAAGCAGCTAGTCACATTACATTCGGTCAAGAGCAAAGAGCAATGAATTAACGCATGCTAGTGCTCAGCTTGTCCTGTCCTTTTTCCACAGTCCAGGGTCCCTCATTCAGAGAATGGTCTCACACACCCAAATTACGATGGATCTCCCACATCAATGAATTCAATTGAGACAGTCCTTTATAGACATTCTCAGGGGCTGACCTTTATCTTGACAACCCTTCACAGGTGTGCCTGAAGGCCGGCCTGCTAGGTGTTTAGTTGATCATTAATACTAACCATCACAGATAAGGAAGAATTTGGTAAGTGAAAAGGTGAAGAAAAGACTGTGAATGCAGAATGAATAGACCTTCTGTGGGCAACAGAGGCCATGAAGGGCAGGATAAGCAGCATGTGGGAGTTAATGGCAGGGTGTTGCTCATAGCCAGTGGGAAGGGTGCCCTGGAGCAAGAGGGGCTGGAAGAAGCAGGGACGCTGCTTGAACTAGGATGATGGTAGCAGAGACAGGAAGGGACCAGAGAAGGCTGTGGGAATAATTGCCCAGGCTGAGGGAGTGGTTGGATGTAGATCTCTGAGATCTCTGAGAATTCAGGAGATACAAGTGGGACAAACTCACGTGCACCGTGACACAGGACCGACATGAGGGAAAGATGTGGACCTTCCAACCTCGGCCCTTCACTTATTTGGTCGTCACCAGTCCATCGTGATGGTGGTAGGTCGGGCAGCAGGGAAAGTAATGACCAGCTTGTCTCCAGTGCTGTGACAGCTCAGTCACAGAGGATGAAAGAGTCCTCCTGGCCTGACTGAAGTCTGGTGGTAGGCTGTGAGTGATGGGTCAGAATGAGGCAGCAGCAGATGCAAGGTGGAGGTGGAGGGCTGCTGCTCAGAATGGTGGCCAAATCCAACTTGGTGCATGCAGCCTCTGCAGCAAGCCTTTATAAAACCTTCTGTGAGGGAATTATAAAAAACACTCCAGTAGATACATGTTTAGTCACAGCAAACAGTTGTGTATTAGAGAAAGTTCAGCTTTCTTAAAAGCTTGATAGAAGAAACAGAATCTCACAGCAAGCAGTCCAGCCCAGAGTCCCAGCCCTCTGACTGACAATGAATGGGATGGAAGTTGGATGGGAACATCTGCACCTGCCTGGACCTGCCATAGATGTGTCAGGGGTGTGCCCTGCTTGTCACAATGTAGGTGAGCAAAGCCTTTGAGTATATTTGGCAACAGAACAGAAACTTGACCTATTTGAAAGCTGTACCCACCCTCTGTAACCTCTTCCAAGGCTTGAGGGGGAATAAAGCCCTCTTGTAGTGCAGTAACAAATGGACTATATACCAAGGAATGAGCTTAGCATGAAACGTGTAAAATAAAAATTCACCCAAGACACTTGTAAAGAATAAAAAAAAGAAGGCTGAAAAGGTTCAGCAGGGAAAGTGCCTGCATTTAAGAAAGAGGGCCTGAGTTCAGATCCTGTGCAATCATGTAAAAAGCAAGGTATGGTTGTGTGCATCTGTAACCCAAGCTCTGGAGAAGTGGAGACAGGCAGATCCCCAGAGCTCACTGGCCAGTTAGTCTAGCCAATCTGTGAGCTCTGGGTTTAATGAGAGATACTGTCTCAAAAAGATAAAGTGAAGCCAGGCATGGTGGCACAAGCCTTTAATCACTCAGGAGGCAGAGGTAGGCAGATCTCTGTGAGTTCAAGGTCAGCCTGGTCTACATAATGAGTTCCAGGCCAGCTGGGTCTACAGGGAGACCCCGTCTCAAGAAGACAAAAAAAAAAAAAAAAAAAAATTGGGATCGGGGAGAGGGGAAGAGAGCGAAGAGAAGCAAGAACATAAGCCCTGGGTCACGGAGGAGCGTAGCGGTTGCATGCACAGGGTTTGCCATAGTATAGTCCATACTTTGTATAAACTTAATTATTTTTTTCCAAATTATAAAACAAAACTAAGGTTGACCAGACTCCAAGGGCTAGACCTGCACCCAAGAGCATTTGGGAAACACATACTCGACTCAATAGGTCTTGAAAAAAAAGACAAATATTGGGCTCGGTGGTTAAGAGTACTGGCTGCTCTTGCTAGGACTTGGGTTCAGTTCCCAGCACCCACATGGCAGTTTCTATCAAGATTCTTCCAGCTGCAGTTACAGTTAGGGTTACACACTGCAGCTGTTTGAGATAGAAGAGTAGAACTTTCATGTCCCCAGATGAGGTGACCTAGCAGGCCAGGGACCCTGCCTGCAGTAGAATAGTATGCAGCTATGTGAAAGGAAGAAGCTATCTAGGTACCTGTTCTGAAAGGCCTCCCAAGTACATCATTGTGGGCACTTTGCACTTTGCATTGTGGGCAAAGAGTATTTGTTTCTATCAGTTTGCATGAAGAAATGATGTAAGGACAAGCAGGAAACTCATGTCCACAACTAAGAAAGGCAAAAGAAGATAGGTTCGCTCCATGGGAACCTTCTGGCACTCTTTAGCTTTATTCTTATCACATGAACCAATGGAGAAATTACACACATCATTGGATTTTAAAAGACTGCTTATGGGCTCATTCCCTAAAGGCGCTTTTGCAGGTCAAGCCCTGGCTTTATGTATGACATCTATTAGTCATCTAACTTTATATGAAGTTGAACAAAATTCCAAAAATAACAGGTCATTTGAAAATATACAGCTTAGGTGCTGGTGAAATGTTTGCCTCAATATGTGTTTTGTGCAGTGTGTCCTGCCAGCCAGGGATGGCCCTTCAATTAAGTTAGATTGTGACTGTGCTGAGGCAGAAAGTGCCCCTGCTCATTCCTGCGACATTTCGTCACCTCGCTTACCATCCGCCAGCTGCTCTATTAAACACAAGCAACAAGCATGCTTTCACGACTGGGGGAGAAATCAGATGAGCTATCTGACCATAAATTACATCCTGACTCCTAGGAAAGTTTTGTAGCCTGGAGCCAGAGCTATTCTACTGTCAGCCTGGCTTCAAGCAGCTGCCTGCTGAAGGCTTTTCCATTTTTGTTTTAAAAGCTGGGGATCAGCACCTATTTCTGTTCTGCTTCCTTCACACCTGCCCCAACCCCAAACTCCCCTTGGAAAGACAAAGCTTTTAAGAATCAAAATTAAGAACCTCTTTTCCTACTTTCCCTTTTTTCTTTATAAGGAAGGAAGGGCTGGAAATACTCCCTATGGTTTCTTTCTGTATCCACTGAGAGACTGAAGGAGGAGGGCAGGCTTTGCGCAGCTCAGTGGGGCCTTTTATCATTCATCTCCAAAGCCATGCACAGCCCTCCAGTGCAAAGGTGCTCAGAGCTTCCAGGCTGAGGGGAAAGAGTGCTATGTGACAGTCTTAATGGAAACGATTGTCAATCATTGTACATCTCAGTGTGTGCGGGATGGGGGAGCATCTCATTTTGTTATTGTTTTTGTGCATTGTTTTTGAGACGGGGGTCTCATTATGCAGCCCAGGCTGGTCTGGAACTCTTTCTGTAGATCAGATTGGCCTTGATGTTATAAAGATCCACCTGCCTCTGCCTCATGAGTACTGAGATTAAGGCCAAAAGAGGGCGAGGGTGTTGGATTCCCTGGAATTATAGATGGTTATTAGCCACCATGTGGATGCTGGGAACCAAACCCATAGTGCTCTTAACCACTGAGGCAACTCTCCAGTTTGGACTATTTCCATATTTAACATATTAAACACTGTCTTCCAAAGCTTCCTGACACCTGAATTTTTGAAACACACAGTTTACAGGTTTCCTTAGGAGACCTGACCCCATGAGTATCTACACTCATACACAGAAAACAGTATACTTACTGTCTTCAAAAAACCATGGGGGGGGGGGGTTGCTGGAAAGCTGGCTCAGCGGTAGTGGTTAAGAGCACTGGCCGCTCTTGCAGCAGACCCAAATTCTGTTCCCAGCACCCATGTGGCAGATAGCAATTGTCCTTAACTCCAGTTCCAGAGGAGTTCGATGCCCTCTTCTGATGTCGTGCAGTGGTGTGACATGGGTACACTTACATACATGCAGGCAATACACTCACACACATCAAATAAAAATAAGAAACAAAATGGTTAAGAGCACTGGCCGCTCTTGCAGCAGACCCAAATTCTGTTCCCAGCACCCATGTGGCAGATAGCAATTGTCCTTAACTCCAGTTCCAGAGGAGTTCGATGCCCTCTTCTGATGTCGTGCAGTGGTGTGACATGGGTACACTTACATACATGCAGGCAATACACTCACACACATCAAATAAAAATAAGAAACAAAATATTTTTAAAAAATATCATCCTGGTTGTGAGTACTTCCCAGCGCAGTCCTGGACAAGCAAAACCCTTCTGGGTGGCTGTGGCTAGGGGGGCCACACTGCCCAGCAGAGGGAAGCAGGCCTGTTGGAAGGTGTTCCCCATGCAGGGAACACTAATAAAGCATCCAGGAATATTCTTCTTGTTTTTAAGTTATCGCAAAATTATCTAAACTCTTTTGGCACCGGACAGTGTTTTTTTTGCAGGCGTTTAGAAAGATTGTTAATAGGTCAGCATGTTGATAAGAGCAAGCAGACTGTTATGACTAGGGTTTCAGGGTACGAAAAAACCTGCCACAGAGATCCCACCTGCTGTCTCCAAGTTTGG